GGCTCGACCAATCAGTGCATGACGGCCTACAGTCCCAACGGCTCTGTGCTGAGCACCGTCAAGTACCACGAGGGCTTTCTGGGTCAGAGGATCGGCAACGCCAGCTCTATGGCCTTCCACCCCTACTTGGTCAGGGACATTATCTTTTGTGGATTTGTTTAGTGGATACTTGGTCAGGGACATTATCTTTTGTGGAATTGTTTAGTGGATACTTGGTCAGGGACATTATCTTTTGTGGATTTGTTTAGTGGATACTTGGTCAGGGACATTATCTTTTGTGGAATTGTTTAGTGGATACTTGGTCAGGGACATTATCTTTTGTGGATTAGTTTAGTGGATACTTGGTCAGGGACATTATCTTTTGTGGATTTGTTTAGTGGATACTTGGTCAGGGACATTATCTTTTGTGGAATTGTTTAGTGGATACTTGGTCAGGGACATTATCTTTTGTGGATTAGTTTACTTACTGCCTGGTCAGTGTCATCGTTTGGGACAATTATCTTTTAGTTATTTGGTTTTTTGACTTTTTACCATTTGTATAAATGAATTTGATTTTAGACCCCCATTAACAAAATTAGATCATTTGATGGTGCTGGGCAGAGATGTTTTTGTGAAAGTTCTAGAGATGTTTTTGAGAAAGATGCTGAGATGTTTGAGATGTTTTTGTGAAAGTTCTAGAGATGTTTTTGTGAAAGTTCTAGAGATGTTTTTGTGAAAGTTGCTGAGATGTTTTTGTGAAAGTTGCAGAGATGTTTTTGTGAAAGTTCTAGAGATGTTTTCGTGAAAGTTGCTGAGATGTTTTTGTGAAAGTTGCTGAGATGTTTTTGTGAAAGTTCTAGAGATGTTTTTGTGAAAGTTGCTGAGATGTTTATCCGTTGTTTCCGCCCCAGATCAAGCTAGCTACGGGCAGCGCGGACTGCTTCGTGTCCATCTACTCGACACCCACTGGACGCACGTCCTTCACAACTTGACCGCGCTCTACACACCCTCGGCCGGCGATCGGGGACCGTGGCCAGTGATTGGGGGTGCTTGACCGATGATCGTGGATGGCTGACTGTTCACCGATGATTGTGGATGGCTGACTGTGGACTGATGATTGTGGATGGCTGACTGTTGACTGATGATTGTGGATGGCTGACTGTTGACTGATGATTGTAGACTGTTGATCAACGATCGTGGACGTAGACCACTGGTCAGGGATCTGTGACTGGAGATTGTAGACTGTTGACCGGTGATCGTGCCAGAGATTGTAGACTGTTGACCGGTGATCGTGCCAGAGATTGTAGACTGTTGACGGTCATCACGGGTGTGTGGTACTGGCGATCGGGGATCGTTGACGGAGTGATTGTTGGGTCTTCACTGACGATTGTAGACTTAGACCACTGATTGTGACTAGGGACTGTGTGCTGAGAGCTGCGTTGTGTGCTGCAGGATGTGCTGTGCTGAGAGCTGCGTTGTGTGCTGCAGGATGTGCTGTGCTGAGAGCTGCGTTGTGTGCTGGGAACTGTGTAGTACTGCTTCAACTTGATGAGAACATTCGTCCATTTCTTCCATGGAGAACTCCGGATTCTTTTTTCGCTGATGTGTTGGTGTCTGTAACTTGTGTATTACTACGCCTGTGGGTGC